CGGGCTGTCGGCTAAGAGATAATCGCACGCCTTATCGGCGACCAAACCGTTGTCCACGCGTTTGTCCACTACTAAGCATGTGTTGCGTCCATCGGTGGAGTGCGGGGCCATCGCTGGTCACGAAGAGAGACAATCAGAGCTTACGTTTAGTTAACGTTTAGGAAAAGACACTGTCTTTACAGTCGTAACGAAAAAGTGATGCAAAAAAAACTCGTGGACTAAAAGTTTGGGCGACTTTTCATTTGATAGTTTGCTCTCAAATAAAGTGTGAAAAATGCAATACGTTTTGCAGTCTTTTAACAGTCGTTTTGCACAATAAAAAGCGTGCGAATCATGTGATCAACGCATACACCGATTGTGTGTCAAATGATCGCTAAAATTAACATTCAATTCAATTTATGGCTTAAAATACCAATAGATATGAGCAGTACTGACCTGAAGACCAATCCTTATCTTAAGATTACTATTCAACGCATACACCGATTGTGTGTCAAATGATCGCTAAAATTAACATTCAATTCAATTTATGGCTTAAAATACCAATAGATATGAGCAGTACTGACCTGAAGACCAATCCTTATCTTAAGATTACTATTGATTAAACAATTGAAATACTTGTGAATGGATTCCTGGGAACAAAAACTTGTGAAAAATGCTTTCACTTTTCAAATGCAAGATTTGAAAGCAACTGAAATTATGGTCAATTTTAAACATGTATTAGTGAAAGCACTTTAGTCTCTATAAAACATGTGCTCCAATCACCGGATAATACTTTGAATTAAACTTATAATCGCTTTAACTAATTATTTAATCCCTGAATAGTTGTGATAACATTTAATTTAACAGTACTTTCACTCATCGGTTGCTATAATATTAGCGTTCAAAAGCCATACAAACTCTCAATTTTAACTGTATTTCAAACTTTGAATTTTAAAAAACCTTTAATTTAAGTGTGAATTTATTTTCCACTTTTAGTTTTCAATACAAAAAGTTTCATATTTTCCATTCACTGTAAGGTTTCATTGATTTGATGACCAAATATATCAAATATTTCAAAGCATTGAATCAATGAACTACCGGTAATATATTTTAACAATGACCTAGGTCGTTTCACCAGGTAATCCCATGTGAGCGCCATCATTGTCACCGACTCATAGACATGTGCCGTTCATTGACGCCAAACATCACGCCATTAGATCCAGTGATGGCGACAACTCTATAGCCATCACATAATCCTCACCTCAATAATAGGCCTCAAAATACAATACACTATAAAATCAATGCAAATCTACAAAAGTTAATTTAAATTATTTTCGAAATAAATATTATCTTTTGTTACTTTGTTTACTGTTATATTAGTGAATAATCAACACTGAAAACAAACTTTATTATAATGTTAATATAACTTTACTAAATTTTTTGTTGTATTTTTTGTATAATTAATTCATTTCTTAACAATAATTTGTGAGATTTTTATTGTCTGAGATTTGTATTGTATTTGTAATTATTTTTTATGAATACATTATTAAATTGTTTGTTCGCATCAAAAGTGGCCTTAAATTTCTCCACACTTTTACCATTAGTTTCTTAAATGACTAGAAGTTTGTGATAAAGTAATTGATAATTAAGTTATTAATACGTGAAATGAAAAATGAATACAAAAAACATTATATTTTAGTTGAGCAGTAGTTTTTGATCAGAAATAATAATAGAAACCATTGAATAGTTATACTTTTAACTCTCTTTTTAATGTCGATTTACATCGAAAGCAAATAAAGAAGTCGTTTTTTTATAATGTATTTTAATGAAAATCCTTTGAAATATTTTTAATATGAATTCTGTATAAATTGTCTATAAATTATCAAAAGACAGATTAGCCTTCAAATTGTGACCAAATTTCGTCGAAACATGTTTTCAAAGTATGAATTAGTAGTCAAATGAATGGCTATTTTTGTTGAAAAGTATTAAATGAAATATAATTTGATAAATAAGTAAAAATATATTTTAAAACTATTAGACAAAAATAAGACATCAAAATAAATTGTAATAAAATTTAAGAAAATTTTATAAATAATTCAAACAAAAAATAATCTTTAAAACGATATAAATATCTTATAAAATGGATCAGAATTTTAGTATTGTTTTAAATTCCTGTATTACTTATTACTATAATTCTGTAAATTATGTCTTTATGTTCTTATAATTGATTGTCAATCAAACTATTGATAATTCATTTGATAATCAAATAATTTCTAACATAATTAAAGTAATAATAGGAGTAAAAAATTATGAAATGGTTTGAAAAATAATGATAGGAATCACAGGAAATGTATAAACAAATACCAAATTATAAAAGTCGACAAAAATGATTAACAAAAATAAAATATACTTTAAAAATGAAAATTCAATTATCAATAGTCTGGAGAAAGCGATAAAAGAGGTCTAAAATCGTCGCTTAAATAGTCAGTCATTCGCAGAAATATCAACAAAAAAGTTAATGAATTAATGATTGATTGGAAACTTAATTATAAAGTCATTACATCTCATGTATTGATTGAGAATATGGTGTATATTCTGGAGACCCATTGAAACCGATGGATCAAATCAAACAGATAATGCGATGACAAATGGCACGACCACTACATTATATACGAGTCGAGTCTAATCTTATAATGCAATCTACAGTTAAATACTGTTCACATCTTCGAGATTAGAGACTAAAACATTTGTTTTGTTTTATAAATAACTTTTTGAAAACTCAATTCTCATATACTATTATATAATACAATTAAATCGTTAAATATATTAATCGATAATTAATATAATAATAATAAAAACAATGAATGTTTAGAAAAAGGGAGAAAAAATCTCATTTGCGATCATCTCTTAGAGTATATCGGTTTCGAAGATCTTTTGATTGTTGGCGTCCGTCACGCCATTGGAAGCGACGGGTGTTTTGGCCAAATCCCGGAGCGAGCCGTGAACTGCCGACATATTAAACGACGTCTTCGACACGATATTACTCTCGGAACCGGTCTTTTTCAGATCGTTGAGTAGTCCGCGTGGGATCTGACCTCTGCTCAACTGCTGCAGTCGTGTGTACTGTTCCTGAAGTTGTCGCTGTTTTCTAAGCAACTCCTGGTGTCTCTGTTCCAGCAGTTCCTGACGCGATTGAGCGAACCGTTTCTCCACTACTGAGCCCTGACTGCCGACGGATGACAGCGACGAGATGGACGACGAGGGCGGCACCTGTATGTCCTCGCCATCTATCATACCTATAGTTTGCAAATTGAATACAAATACGTTAGAAATTATGGCACATCTTGTAATTGAAGCAAATCTTGTTCAACGAATTAATGGCCCATACCTTCCGGTGGTGTCGATCGGGACCTATAGGCAGAGGGCTCTGAGTTAGACCTGATCGCAGAGGTCGGCGGCCGGACTGGAAATGATGTCAAAACTATAGGATTAATACGTGATGACGAACGCGGCGGCGGTACGGGTATTGTCGACACGAGTGGACCTATTGTTTTGCGGGAATTTTTGGCCATTAATTCGGTTTAAGTGTTGGGAGTTTCAGCTAATCGTTGGGACAACTATTGGGTTCACTAAATT